AACTACTGTTAAGTCATTCAAGAGAATCAATTCAATCAACTCTCATCTTAACAGTCAAGTCAGAGATCAGTGTTGGTACTGGTCTGATAAACGAGCGTTTCACCATCTGGCATAAAGCCGCGGTTGAAACGGTTACACTAAAAGAGGAACTTAAGAGAGTAAAGAAGCTGAACTGTGAGGGGGAAAAACAGCATTTCACCGTTATGATGAACAAACACAAACTCATCCACACACACAAACTGCTGCTGCTGATGGGACTCACCTAATGATGCTCAGAAATGCTGCAAGATTAGACCAGACTAACAGCTAATCTACCACTACAACCAGACTAACACAACAACTATACCCATAACCAGACTAACGACTGAACTACCAACTAACTATCGGCTGAACCCCAGACTAACACATCAGCTAACAAACACACACTTCATACACAAACAGGAAATAAAATTACTAACTGGTTTGTCGCTGGTTAACTGAACTAACTCTAACAGAACCAACTCAACTACATGATAGTCATTAGTGCAAATAGTGACTGAAAGCATAATTAACACTTAAATGAATAAAGCAACACTTACCGCACATCAATCATGAGCGCAGACATCAGTCACCTAAACTCTGTAACAACCTCATTTGTTTCTCTCTGTGATAATGAGACTGTGGGGTTTCTGATGAGACCGTATGGAGATTTTGTTTCGCGTGTTGTTGCAGTCGCGTGCAGCTCGTTATTAACGGCCTTAAAATGCAAAACACAAACTTGCAGAAGTTCCTCGCGTTGCAGTTACAGACCGACGTGGCAAGCTGACGGCTGCGTCACATGACGCCATCAGAGATGCGACGCGTGTGATGCGCAGGCGCTGTACATTAAACGAAAACGTGGTTAAGGATAGGTTACTGTCAATAGGCTTGTTTGAGCTGAGCAAAACTGCGCAGAACCGATCACCGCGAGATGCATGCCGGTTAGAAAAGTGTCCGACTTGCTCTGATGCAGGGACGCGGGAAGTAGGGGTGCTGAGGGGGCTGCAGCACCCCCTGTTTTCACATGGTTGCAAATGCAACGCCAAGTTTGTTCATTTAAATTTATTCAGTTTTAGCATTTAATAATTTATTTGTAATGATCTCTGAAATGTAAATTGTAAGTGGGCTATAATAAACCCATATTTATCTTTATAAACTTAATTTGCTGTAAAGTTGCTTTGCAACGATTTGTATCGTGAAAAGCGCTATACAAATAAACTTGAATTGAATTGACATTCAGTTGAAGTTTATATAAAAATGCAAGGCTGAAAGAATGATTGATTTTAAATTTACCAGTTCTGTAAAAGACACAAAAGATGCTATTTACAAAAAGACTAATGAGAAGCTTGACCTGAGCTTGATCAATAAAACTGCCAATACACATTTCACACTGGACATCTGTTTAAGCTATTCCTTGTGTTTAGTAGCCAAAGACTGAAAACACTGAAGTTCACAGCGGATTCATTAATAACTAGTGGCAATAACTTATTAGACATAATTAGAATTTCAGTGGTCATAGCGTTCAATACAAACAAGAGTCTCATACCCATTTCTTGTGTTATAATGCATTATATCCCTATGCTGTAAATGCTAAAAAAAAAAAAAAACACTATCTTAATAAATATATTGACACAAATTTAGTTTACACAGATAAATCCTAAAACCCAAGCAACCTATAAAATCTATATCATTAAAATACAGCTTCCTCTAATGTCATTACTAGAAGATGATATTCATATTCACATTAATATAAACTGCTCTGCACAAAAATATAAAACAAAGAAATCAGTGATCAATGTTCAGTGTAACATCCTTCAAACATGTACTTTGTTCTGTGCACATTAACACAGAAGCTTCACTGAAGTTGGTCTACAGGCACTCTGGATCAGATGCAGATGTCAGATGACTATACGGGTGCCACTTCGAGAACTGGTGGACAGAAGAGGTGTAAACATCAACATCAACACACCCACAGGATCAACAAAACCCACTGAACTTCAGACAGGTGTGTGTGTATGTGTCTGCACACAGATGTAGATCTCACTGATTATGAACGGTGTGGTTGTGTAGGTACAGAGGGGTCCAAACATCAGTGATCACCAGTGAAAATGCTACTTTTTTGCATTCTTCTTTTTATCAGAATACAGAAAATAGTTAAACTTAGAATGTTGAATTCATAAATATCAATATTTGTATTGTATATTTGTATTTGCATTAGAGCTACATGAACTAACCCTGATGATCATGTTCTCCAGCAGGATCTGAGATGATCCAAAGATCTTGACTGGAAGAAGAACATCTGACCTTATCCTGTGACTTAAATGATCAATTACTTTCTGACAAATTAATTTGATCTCATTACAGCTCTGTGTTCTCATAATTTCTCATAGTTCCTTTCAGGTTTAAACGAGAAAGAAAGAATCCAACTTTTCACATTATCGATGTGGTTTCATATGTTTGGATCTCACATTACACTACCGGTCAAAAGTTTTGGATCAGTAAGACTTGTAATGTTTTTTAAAGAAGTCTCTTATGCTTAGCCTAATCCTCATGAACACGTGACGCTGGCGCGTGGTATCAGACATAAACTATACAGAATGAGAACAAGGTTAACTTTAATACAAGGAGATAATGACGCAAAAGCAAATTTCAGATTTTTTTAAATGCCCTTCCCAGCTAAAACTTTCCAAAATCGGCATCCACACCAGCACGAGCACCGACGTAAGTGAACAAGCTCCAGCACGAGCACGGAGACAAGTAAGCCTAGCGGACCCAGCCCAACCCCCGAGATTGATCAGCTACTATCGATAATTAAAAAAATGTGATATGCAGTCAAATTTCCCAGTGTGTATGCCACTTAAACGAGTGTTCATATCGACGCGGTTGTAGTGCTTTGTGGAGTTGTCAAATGAGGTGACTCCCCCAACCCCCCTCTTCACCCAGCACCCCCAACCG